TTTTAATAACAGCTAAAGGTGACATAGATACTTTATTATGGTATAGTATTTAAATATATGCCTGAGAAACATATAATACTGCCCCTTTAATAATTGTGGAAGCTAACGCTAACTAATAAGTTCAGTTTTCATCGAGATAAACGGCCCTAAAAGACTGGAACAAACGTGTGAGTTCTGTTAGCGAAACAAAAAGTTAGCGGAATTAAATTTAACAAAAGCTAATTGGTAAGCGCTTAACGGTTTTAAAAGTTTGAAAAAAATGCTAATCTACTGATTAAAAAGTTAGCTTTGGTATTAGCCRTTAGGGGATTAGCCCAACCCTGCCCACCACTGAACAAAAGGAACAGAACTGATCACAGAAAATAAAAGATAAACAAAAGGGAATAAACTCAACAATAAAACACAAMCAATTAATAACAAAACACAGGACATCCTGACAGTGGTTCTTAGTGGAAAAAGGTGAAAACCATGAGGAGGAGGAGAAAAAACAGATCTTGATGGTCTGTGATTCTSTTCATATCATTTGACGATGAAGACGACAAAGAACACGACATGATCTCACCTGTAATGAGCAAGAGCAGCGTTGGGTCCACTCGCAGAGATCGTTTCAAAACTTGGGCCTCTGCTGTCATTTTGTTTGCTGCAACATTCAAATTAAAAGTAACTTAATGACTTAAACTTCATAGTCTTCTTCAGCTTCATGTAAAYGTGTACTTTCTCACCTGCGACAGTTGTTGACGTACTCTGCAGCGCTCAGCTCGGTCTCAGTTCCTTTTGAAACGACCTTCTCCAGCCACATTAACAGCTGGATCACAGCCACTGCGTCCCTCACCTGAGAGGGTCACAGAGAGCAGCAGGTTGAGTATTTAAATCTAAAAGTATTAAGTATTTATATCTAAAAAGCTGCTTGTGTGTGTGTTTGAGCCGTACATGAGCATCCCTCAGGATCTTCTGCTCAGTTTCATCTTTTACAGCTTTACTCGTCAGGACTAGAGAGTACGAGCTCGTCATTAGCTTCTCCTTCATGAGACAAACGAAAGATTAAAAACACAAATATACTCTACAGGACCCTCGGACCACCTGCGTACCTGTGGGGTTATGATCTCATACAGGGCGTAGTTTGTGTACTCTGTACCGATCCACACTTTCACCCCYGGCCGCTCCACGTAGGTTTTCAGGTGTTCGCGGACCGAGTCGTAACTTTTCAGCTGCACACAAAGAGGCCCTGAGCACGATGCGTTCAGGTACACCTTCAGATCCTCAGACACACGATCGGTGTGGACGAAGAGCCTGAAGGAGGCGTGGAGGGAAAGTGTAGATGCCATTAAAACTGTGAGGAATTTAATTCGTTTTACAATTAACGAATGACTGAGCGAATAAATGAATGAATGTATAAATAAATGAATGGATAAATGAACAAACGAATGAATGAATGAATTACCAGATCTCAGTCAAGGTGAGTAGAGTGTAGGAGTAGAAGAAGGGGTTGTAAGGAATGTCGTTTCCACGCAGATTAAAGAGCCCTGAAACACAAACAGATTTGATTTATGAGCAGCTTTCACCTTCCTTCGTTTCTTGGAAAACTAAAAACAAACCAACATTTTTACCACCAAAGAAACGGTACTGGAAACTCCAGAAAATCTTTCCAGAACAAATGTCCTGATGCATCTCAGTAATCCAGGTAAAAAAATCAAAAGGAAAAAATTGTATATATGACCTATACAGTTTTTTTCCTTTTGATTTCCAGAACAAAGTTTCTACATCCTACCAACAACGTCAAAAAGGTACTGATGTACAGAAAGGACTGAAGGACCAACTGGGCACACAGCGTGTGAAGTCTAATACATTCAGGGGATCCAGAAACAACAATACACAGCAATTAAACAAAACACAAAAACACAGAACGGATTGTTCTGGACCTCAAACTGAACTCAGGCGTCAAACATCAGAGACTTCACAGATGCAGAGGGCTCGGGAGGAGGACCTGGTCACAGAAAACTGAAGCCTGAATTATATTTTTTTATTGTAATAGTTCTTTTTGGTCTTTTTACCAAAATGAAATGGTCGGACAGACCTGGTAAACCCAAACACTATGAGAGGGTGAACTGGGAAAGTGTGGCGCAGCCCAGTCTGTGTGATCTTCAACTCTCACCTCCAGGAGAGTTTATCACATGTCCTGGAGGAGGTCGGGGACATGGAGTCTGAATGGACCATGTTCAGGGCCTCCATTCCAGATGTGGCTTCCAGGAGCTGTGGCCTGAAGGTCATTGGTGCCTGTCTCACCAGCCATGAATCTCATCGCACGACACTGGTGAAAACTGATCATGTGAGCCTGTGAAAWGTGACCTTAGCTGACGATTTGATAGATATTAAGCTCTAATTTGTTATGGTAGTAGCTGAGGGTCATCCTCAACACAGACTGAAAAACATGCTGTACTTCCTATGATACTTCCAGTTTACCCCTTTCAGATTAAAAGCCTTTCTTTGATTGAGTTTGCATTTTTACAAATATCGTTTGAAGTTAAACAACAAATGGCAAATACTTTGTCAATTTTTGTATTTGTCATTTATTGTTAAATGYTCTTTTATTTATATTTGAAGCTTTTAGTTTGAGGTTTAGCTGCTAAAAGTCCAGCAGTAGGAAGATAAAGTTTTCATTTAATTTGGGATAAATGACATAAAATAAAATTTACACTCTGGATTTTTATAGTGGACTTAAAATGAGCAAAACTTAATCAGTCCGCTGATGGTTTCCAAAGTTAGCAGAGAATCTACCRGTAATTTGCTAAATGAGAAGCTAGTTCTGCTATTTGCGGATTAGCGCAACTGTGGCCACCACTGATTTKAAAACATTTTCATTAAAACAACCAGCATCAGACTGATCATGAATATGAAACACTGCTTTAAACGACATGACGTTTGATTTATACTCACATGCCGTTTCATCCAGAGCTGAMAGCAGAAGCGCAGTGGGCTGGTATGGATTGTCCCTCATCAGTTTCCGCAAGTCACTCACCTTCACCTGCCATGACCTTTCTGCAAACACACTCTTATTTAGATTTTATTTATTAGTTAGCATAAAATATGCTGACCACAGCAGTTCATCTTTATGAAAATTAGATTTATGCTTTTAAGTCTAAGCAGGTTGATCAGTGCAGCTTTTATCAGTAACTTTGTCCTTTTCTTTGACATTCAAACCATCTACAAAATTTCATTCACATAATGGACTCCAGTCAGCAAGCCAAGTATTAAAAAAAAGCTTTTACAGCCAAAGTACGAGAAAGCACTTATAAAAAGACTCACTTAGAAGCCCTGTAAGGTAGGATTTTTACAGTTTAAAGTCAAATGTATACACACACACACACACCATTAGCTTTAATGGTGCTCTCTATTTGTTCCATCTTTCTAATCTCCAGTCGTAAAGACTAATAAGACCCACAGAGAGATAAACTTTCTCCTGCGGAGGCTTATCCAGTCCTTCTGAGTCAGTATTTAATCTGTCAGCCAGATGTAAAAACATAACACACACGGTCTCTTTATGGCTGTGTTTGCTGAGCTGCCCAGTTTGCAGGTATTTATCAGCACACAGGTAGACTTGCAGGCTGCGGTGTGTGTGCGTGCGCGCGGAACACACCAACACACAAACGTAAGAAGACCCACGTATGACTCGGTCCGGCAGGCGGGTGAGGCTGTCAGGCGGGACTGRGGGTCTGTCCTTCCACACCTCATCCACCAGGTTGATGGGGACGGACTTGAGGGTGCGTTCGCTCGACTCCAGGCTGACGGCGTAGTTCTCCTGTGTGTCTGAAGGAGAAAACCCACACACACACACACACACCGAACAGAATCAATCACGAGTAAACAGTCTGCGGCGTATTGCTGCTCCATCAATATGTTTCCATGTACTTATGAAAGCACTTAAACTACGTTTGACTGAGCTGTGAGGCCAGGTGGTGCAGAGAAACTCACTGAGGGAGAAGCAGAAAGGGTCGAAGCCGATGWTCCCGCCTGGAGGCACCTCAGATATGAGCCACTCTGCCACACTTCTGATGGAAACTACAGCAGTGTTTAAAACAAACAGTAGCACATTGTCAAAACTGCTTTGTAGGAGCCTAATAAATTACTTCRCTATAAAAAGCAGCAGTAAAACCACACATTTTATAAAAGTGTTTACCGTAGAGTATTTATTTAAGTACCATTGTGATTATACAGATAAATAGTTACTATTACAGTCAGTCAGTAAATATAGCCAGTGATGAGGATGTTTCTGCTAATCTGAACAGCTAATAGTGGAGCTAACTTTCTGTTCAGCGGATTCGCATTTTAGCTAACTTCGAAAACTGTTTGAGTACCAATTAGTTTACGCAAAATTTAGTTTTGATAACTTTAAGTTTGCTAACAGCTAATAGTGAAGCTAACATTTTGTTCAGCGGAGAAGCATTTAAGCTTACTTTGAAATCTGTTAGCTAAATTTAGTTTAGCTAACTTTGTTTGCTAACAGYTAATAGTGAAGCTAACTTCTTGAACAGCAAATTAGTGTTTTTCGTAACTTTGAAAACCATTAGCTGAATTTTGTTCCGTTAACTTTAAGTCTGCTTACAGCAACAAATGGATGTTCTCTCCAACTTTGAAAACTATTAGCTAAATTTATTTCCATTAACTAAGTCTGCAAAACAAAACCTGCACACTTGTTCCTCTAATGGTCATTTATCCCAATAAAAAGTTAACTGAAAATTCATTTTTCATTTAATTTCATTTATTGTGTATTTGAATAGAAACAAGTGTCAAGTATTAACAAC